CAGGCATGAGCCACCACACCCAGCCCCTAATCAGGTTTTAAGTCCCCTGTTATATGATGCTTTTGTATCCTCCTGAAATCTTCAAGTATAAATTATACGATCTGTAATTGTTATACCATCCAGTCTTCAAAAAACTGTATTTTTTTTAACAGTAAAATTAGTTCCACCAGCATTTATGGGGTAGTTACTAATGCAGCAATACAATTCTGAGAGGGAGGAACACACAGGTAGACATGAGAAGCCTTACAGCTTACAGTGAGAAATAACGTGGCACAGTGGTGAGAATGCACACACAAATATAGTCTCTCTAAAGACAGGGATATAAAACTGCATTTTTTAAAGCTGCCATTTACACATCACATTGTATTCTAATTGCTTCCTAGGTAAACATACTTAAACATTTTTCCTAATATCCCAAACTGGAAAGTGATGAACATATTTAATTCTCTCTCTTTTCATTTTACTTGATTTCTTAGACAATTCAGGTACTGTGGGGGAACTTAGGGGAACAAGCTTGAAAACCAAAGTACTTAAGTAAAATGTATTGAGTGCTCACCATGTGCTAACTACTAGCGTGGCAGATTCTGGGGATAAAACAGTGAGCAAAACCAGCAGTGATCTTGCACTGATGGAGTTTACAGTGCAATGGAACGAACCGGTAATAATCAGACCAGTCAATGATGAATTAGCACAGGAATAAGTGCTGCACAGAAGAGCCAGGGTGCTGAGTGCACAGCACAGAGGGCACAACGTGGACCTGGCCTGTGAGCAGGGAATGGACCGGGTGTCCAGGAGGGCTTCCATGATCAAGGACACAGAGCTAGAGGAAAAACCTGAGGAGCACAGAGAGGATGCCAGGCAGAGAGAGGTAGGGGCAAATTCCTTGTGACTAGAGGGTGTAGGACAGTTCCAAGGAACTGAGAGGAAGTGGGAACCAAAGGACAAGGGACAGCTTGATGGGAAATGAGGAAAAAGCGGCAGGGAGGCACCAGACCTTGCAGGACCTTGTGGGTTATGTTAAGGATAGATCTTCACCCTCAAGACCATAAGCAGCCACAAAGGAGTTCTGCCTCTGTTGCTAATTACATTATAAGACCACTTATGCACAGCATCTGGCGGAGTCCCAGATCCGTAGCAGTAGGCAGCGAATGTCGATTCCCTCCCAAAGGCATCCTACAACATTTACTGCTTTATCCAAATAGTCTACCAATTAACAATCAAAATGAGTATCTCTTGTATTTTCACATCAGTATCATTGTGAAATGAATTAGTATGTTAAGTCTTAATGGAATGTCCATTATCTCTCAATATACAAATACAATCAGCCTTTGATATCCAAAGGTTCTACCTCTGAAACCAAATGCAGATCAAAATGCAGAATTCAACGGATGCAAAACTTGTGGATAGAGGGCTGTTGTTTTGTATATATGGGTTCCAAGGAGCCAACTGCAGGACTTGAGTCTGTGCAACTTTTGATATCTGTGGGAGTCTGAGAACCAATTCCCCATAGATACCAACGCACAACTAGATATACAAAAAGCAATTGTAGTTTTATTCCCTAGAAATGAACATTCTGGAAATGAGATTAGGAAGACAATTTCATGTATAACAGCATCAAAAAAACAAAATAATACTAGTAACTCCAAGAAATGAAGCATAAGATATATTCTGAAAACAATAAGAGTATTGGAAGAAATTTAAGAGAACCTAAACAAATGGAAGTACACTACATGTTCTTTAATATGGGAAGAACATAGTATTATCAAGATGGCAATACTTAAAATTCATTGAAAACCTTAATATAATCAAGATGGCAGTATTCCTTAAGTTGATCTACAGATTCAATTCAATTTCTATCACAATTCAAGTTGCTTTTGTTCCCAGAAACCAACAAGCTGACTCTAAAATTCATATGGAAATAGAATGGATTCAGAATAACCAAAGCCATTTTGTAAAAAGAAGAGCAAAGTAGTACTCCCACTTCTAGATTTCAAATTTTACTACATATCAACGGTAATGAAGACTCTATGTACTGGCATGGAATAGATATGTAGGTCAATGGACCAGAACTGAGAATCCAGATGTCAATTGATTTTTGACAAGGGTGCCAAGATAATTTAATGGGAGAAAGAGTCTCTTTTATTTTTTTAACCAACAGAATTTTATTTCATTAAGCATGAAGTTACATTCACATTTGTCTACAAATACAGTCAGTAAGGAAACAAAAACTATCAGCTTTCTTGCTGTAGTATGAAATGTTCAGTGGCAGGCTCACTTAAAAACAGAGTCAACCCTGACGTGGACTCGAGATCAGTCACAATTACTTGGGAGGAGAACACAAAGACCACCAGCTTTCTTGCCGTGGTGCTGGATGTTCAGTGGCAGGCTCACTTGAAGGTAGAGTCAACCCTGACAGGGACTCGAGATCAGTCACAACTACTTGGGAGGAGAACACAAAGACCACCAGTTTCTTGTTGTGGTTCTGGATGTTCGGTGGCAGGCTCACATGAAGATAGAATCAACCCTGATGGGGACTCAAGATTAGTCACAACTACTTGGGAGGAGAATACAAAGACCACAAGCTTCCTTGCTGTGGTGCCAGGTGTTCAGTAGCAGGCTCACTTGAAGGTGGAATCAACCCTGATGGGGCCTAAAAATCAGTCACAACTACTTGGGAAGAGAACACAAAGATCGCCAGCTTTCTTGCGGTGGTGCCAGATGTTCAGTAGCAGGCTTACTTGACGGCAAAATCGATCCTGATGGGGACACGACATCAGTCACACGACTTAAGAGGAGAACACAAAGGCTACCAGCTTTCTTGCGGTGGTGCCGGATGTTCAGTGGCAGGCTCACTTGTAGGTGGAGTCAACCCTAACGGGGACTCAAGATCAGTCAAAACTACGTGGGAGGAGAATAGAAAGACCGCCAACTGTATTCCTGTGGTGTCAGATGTTCAGTGGCAGGCTTACGTGAGGACAGAATCGACCACGATGGGTACTCGAGATTAGTCACAACAACTTGGGAGGAGAATACAAAGACAGCCAATTTCTTGTTGTGGTTCTGGATGTTCGGTGGCAGGCTCACATGAAGACAGAATCAACCCTGAAGGGGACTCAAGATTAGTCGCAACTACTTGGGAGGAGAACACAAAGACCACAAGCTTTCTTGCTGTGGTGCCAGGTGTTCAGTGGCAGGCTCACTTGAAGGCAGAGTCAACCCTGATGGGGACTCAAGATCAGTCACAACTACTTGGGAGGAGAACACAAAGTC